ACTCACCCAGTACATCCCCCACAGCATGAACCCAATCGCCTCCTCGAACGCGAACAACACCTTCGCGCCCTCCTCCCGCTCCTGCCGCAATCCCGTACTGCCCAGCCACTTGAACCCCGTCAGTGTCTGTACGAACCTAAACCCCTCCACCTCCGCCATGGCCCCCAGCAGTCGGGAGCTCACGACAGAGGCGAGCATCACACATCGACCGGGGGGAACCTGAGCAGCACAACGGGGGGGGGGGGAAATGGGAGGAAGAGAGAGAGAGTGTGTGTGTGTGTGTGAGCGAGTGTAAGTGTACTTAGCAGGGGGGAGAGAAAGGGGTAGAAAAAGGAGGGGTTAGGCAAGCTCCTGGTCTCCACAGCCGACATCCAATGCGCAGCTCCTTTACGGCGTTTAGCTGGTGGTGGTGCCGTGTAGCGGGAGGTCGTGTGGGGCCAGGAGAGCTACATCGCGTCCTCCCCAAAAGGCGGGAGAAGAAAGGAGGAGGAGAAGGGAGGAGAAGAAGGGCGGGTGATCCGGGTTGCGAGGGATGGCGGGGAGGGGGTCATGTCGCCGGGAACACGACCGACGCCACGAACGGGGGGAGGGGGATGCCTTCCTGCCTGCCTGCTTTCTCGCCCATCCCCTCTACCTGCCCCACCCTCCCCCATTCACCCTAGCTGCTCGCGAAATCACCAACACCACACTCCCCCCTGCTTCCCCCGCCTTACCTCCTCTTTCCCCCTTTTCAAAACACACACAGATACACATAAACACACGCCGACACGCGCTCACCTCGGGATGCTTCTCCCTGAAATTGGTCCACACCCAGTGCGCCAGTAGCGCCCCGATCTCATTACCCGTGAACACCCGCCACCCGCCACCCGCACCCGGACACCTCTCCGCCACACACAGCCGGTCGGCATCTGGGCCCGGAAAGCGCGGGGGGAAGGGAGGAAAAGGGAATAATGTGCGTCTACATTTGTCGTACTGCTCGCGAGTGTGGGAGGACATGAATTCCCATAGAGAGGGGAGTAGCGCTTCAATCCTCGATTCCCCAAGGGGGAGGAATCCCCCTCCTTTCCAATCGTGTTTGGATCCAAAGCCTGTTGACCTGTTGGTAAGCTCCTTCCCAAAACCTTTCCGACGTAGCCTTTCCCCGGTTTGATGTAACCCAGCTTTTCGGATTTCGCAAAACCCCTTGTTTCACCCCTCCTCCCCCCACCCTCCAACCCTGAGAAGCCCCTCCGAGCTTCCTTCCTCCCCCTCTTCCCCAGTCTCCTCCTCTCCCTCCCCCCTCCTCCCTCTCCCCATTCCCCCTCCTCCCCCCTCCTCTACCCCCTTCCAGTGGTTCGTGTTTTCCCCCCCCCTTCGGGCCCCAACCCACCGGGGTCGTTAGCTAGCACCAGTCGTGCGCCCAGCTGGGCACCTGCTGGTCCGCCGTACGACACGGGGGGAGGGGGGGAGGGGAAGTGTATGGTGCAAGATCAGGCCGACACGTCCAAACTACCAACCAACTGCCGCGGGAGGAGGCCCACGTGATATCTGAGGTCGTTGTTGGGAAGGAGCGACTGAGGCGAAGTGGTCTGAGTGAGTGAGAGGGTGAGTGAGTGAGTGATAAGCTGCACATGAACCCGAGGGTAATTGGGAGGGAAAATGTGCGTGTGCGTGTGTCTGTCTGTTGCTCTGTCTGTGATAGGGAAGATATGCGGTGTGTGTGTGTGTGTGTGTTTTGCACAGCTGAACCCCCCCCCCTCCTCCAAGGGTTGGATCCTGACGCGGGGGTATTTCCTCCCCCCTCCCCCCCCCGACGCTCCCTCCCCCCTCCTGCTTTCCCCCGACGGCTGCGGTACCTCACCCACCCACCTCACGGACCCACCCACCCACCCACCCACCTACCCGCCAAGAACGCCA